GTCACTGATAAAAAGTCAACCTGATTTTGACCATTCTCTCCATAGCAGTTCATTAGTGCTATCGGCCAGTCTTATAATTTCCAGCCTTTGGACTAAAGATGAAGAATGATAAGCTCCACACATGTGGGAAATTGCCAATTGCTCATATGTTGTTATACAATTTTAGTAAATGTGGTAATGATTTGCTGGGTAACTGTTTTACGAATTGATAATTGATAACATCTGGTCCCACAGCTGTAGTGTGGACTCTCTTTAAAGATTCATTTAGTCCCTCTATGGGGATTAGTAAGTAAGGTTAGTCTCGCTATGGTGGATGGTAGATTAGGTTAGTCTCTCTATGGTATATGGTAGATTAGGTTATTCCCTCTATAGTGAATGGTAGATTAGGTTAGTCCCTCTATGGTGAATGGTAGAATAGGTTATCCCTCCCCTCTATGGTGAATGATTAGGTTAGATTAAATGGTACATTAGGTTAGTCCCTCTATAGTGAATCGTGGACTAGGTTAGTCCCTCTATGGTAAATGGTAGATTAGGTTAGTCACTCTCTGGTGAATGGTCCCTCTAATGGTAAGTTAGAATGAATGGTAGGTTATGTTATTATTTGATTTAAAGTTTAATTTTGCTTTTTTCCGTTTTTTTTTATTTGAGCTCCTTCATGGGAGATGGATTTTTAAAGTGGTGAATGGTAGGTATTTATCGAGAGATATTTTTAGCGTTGCTATCATGTTTAACACTATTCTCCATATCACATTTTGTTTTTGTGGCAGAATTAAATCTTCTGACGTAGTTTTTCCAACATTATTTTTTTCTTTCTTTAATTATTTTTCGTGCTTTTGATCGAAGTTTTTTAAATTGTAAATATTAGAGGTGAATAGTAGATTAGGTTAGTCCCTCTATGGGGAATGGTAGATTAGGTTAGTCCCTCTATGGGGAATGGTAGATTAGTTTAGTCCCTCTATGGTGAATGGTCGGTTAGGTTAGTCCCTCTATGGGGAATGGTAGATTAGTTTAGTCCCTCTATGGTGAATGGTCGGTTAGGTTAGTCCCTCTATGGGGAATGGTAGATTAGTTTAGTCCTCTTGGTAGATTTTAGTCCCTCTATGGTGAACGGTCGGTTAGGTTAGTCCTCTATGGGGGATGGTTGAATGGTAGTTAGGTTAGTCCCTCTATGTTGAATGGTAGGTTATATCAAGCACTCAGCATTATTTGATTTAAAGTTTAATTTTTGCTTTTTTCCGTTATTTTTTTATTTGAGCTTCATAAATTGTTGGCTACCATTCATGGGAGATGGATTTTTAGAAGTTGTTTTGGCTAATTGATGAACGATATACTTTTTGCTGTTTTTTTATAGGTATTTATCGAGAGATATTTTATAGCGTTGCTATCATGTTTAACACTATTCTCCATATCACATTTTGTTTTTGTGGCAGAATTAAATATTCTGACGTAGTTTTTCCAACATTATTTTTTTCTTTCTTTAATTATTTTTCGTTTTTTGATTTTTTATTTTCGTGCTTTAGGAATAGTAGATTAGGTTAGTCCCTCTATGGGGAATGGTTTTTTAAATTGGGGAATGGTAGATTAGTTTAGTCCCTCTATGAATGGTCGGTTAGGTTAGTCCCTCTATGGGGAATGGTAATCCCTCTATGGTGAATGGTCAGTTAGGGTTAGTTAGGGGAATTAGTTAGTTTAGTCCCTCTATGAATGGTCCGAATTAGTCCTCTAGGGGATGGTAGTTTTTAGTCCTCTATGGTGAATGGTCGGTTAGGTTAGTCCCTCTATGGGGAATGGTAGATTAGTTTAGTCCCTCTATGGTGAATGGTAGATTAGGTTAGTCCCTCTATGGGGGAATGGTAATGGTCAGGTAGGGGAATGGTATTAGTTTAGTCCCTCTGGGTGAATGGTCGGTTAGGTTAGTCCCTCTGGTAGATTAGTTTAGTCCTCTATGGTGAATGGTCGGTTAGGTTAGTCCCTCTATGGGGAATCCTCTATGGGGAATGGTAGATTAGTTTAGTCCCTCTATGGGAACGAATTAGTCCCTCTAGAATTAGATTTAGTCCCTCTATGGGGAATGGTAGATTAGGTTAGTCCCTCTATGTTGAATGGTAGGTTATATCAAGCACTCAGCATTATTTGATTTAAAGTTTAATTTTTGCTTTTTTCCGTTATTTTTTTTATTTGAGCTTCAGAAATTGTTGGCTACCATTCATGGGAGATGGATTTTTAGAAGTTGTTTTGGCTAATTGATGAGCGATATACTTTTGCTGTTTTTTTATAGGTATTTATCGAGAGATATTTTATAGCGTTTAACACTATTCTCCATATTTTGTTTTTGTGGCAGAATTAAATCACTATTTTTCTTCATTATTTTTTCTTTCACATTTTTCGTTTTTTGATGGCAAATATTAATTTAAATCTTCTGACGGTGAATTTTTTAGGTTAGTCCCAACATTATTTATTTTTTTTTAGTTTCTTTAATTATTTTTTAGTCCTTTTGATCCCTCTATGGGGAATGGTAGTTGTTTAAATTGGTTAAATATTATTTGGTTGAAGGCCGTAATTTTGTATTTGAAAAATTGTTGGCTCAAATCATGGGAGATTTTTTAAAATTCATCCCAATTCGAACGATATACTTTTTGCTGTTTTTTTCAAAGGATATTTTATAGGATTTTTATCATTATGTTCTTTGAAATTAAATCTTCTGACAAACATTATTTTTTTTTAATTGATCAAGTTAAATTGTACTACTGCATGTGTTCACGAGAACCTTTTCAAAGATAGGATTTTTAATTATGTTCATATCGATTAATGGATCACATAGATTAATGGATCACATAAGGATAAAATCTATTGCAGAATAGCTGCCAGTAAATGTCGGAGTTTTATCGTTATAAATAATAAATCATTGTTTTTAATAATTGTTTCTAAAGTCCTTCCCTTTTGGTTTGTGTCTTTACCGACATCCACCCCCCACCCTTATATGTTGCCGTGACAGTTAAAGTCGCCTATTATCATAAATGGCGCAGGGAGTCGCCTTATACTTTTATGCATTTCGGCTTCATTAACTTCTTTCCTGAGTGGGATATACACCGAGCAAATATTTATTGGTCTATGTAGGGTCACTCTGACAGAAGTCGCCTGTAAAATAGTTGCCAGATTTATTTTGTCTTTGGGGTGGATTATTCCTAACTAGGATACATGTGCCGCCAGATGCACGAAGCTCAGTGTCATGTGTGTGCTTGTATTACTAGTATTATTTTTATATTCATTTTGTCACATTGTTTAAGGAATGTTTACTGAAGGCAAAAAATCAGCCGTTATTAGGCTTGTTATTAACGTTTATATTTGCGTTTATTCTGCGGCAATTCCATTGAATTATCTTACCCCTGACTGTTTAAACGTTTTCAAACTGTAGGTTACTTTTTTTTTTTTTTTTTTTATTTATTTTTATTTTTATTTATTTATTTAATTATTTTTTTTATTTATTTATTTATTTATTTATTTATTTTTATTTATTTATTTATTTTTATTTATTTATTTATTTATTTTTATTTATTTATTTATTTGTTTTTATTTATTATTTTTTTTTATTTATTTATTTATTTATTTTTATTTTTATTTATTTATTTATTTTTATTTATTTATTTATTTTTATTTATTTATTTATTTATTTATTTTTGCTACGTCTTCATTTTAGAGGTTTTAGCCATTTGAGGGTTTGGACTTTCCACTTCCATCTTTTCCAGTTCGTCAGATCTGTTTTGCGTAGGAATTTGTGGATTTCCGGCTTTTTTTTTCGGCTGATTCTGTTCTTTTGGTAGTTAAGTTTTTTCAATCTGTCTTTCCAGAATTTTGATGGATGGATAGGAGATTGCTCTGACCTATGTTTATTAGGAGATTTGCTATTTTTGGTAGGAGTGGTTTGTGTTTGAGCTGTCGTTTTACTGTTTGCTTTTTCTTTATTTATTATTTCAATACTTTCATTGGCCTTTTGTGGTTCAGCCTGCACCATTTCATTGGAATATAGATTTTGAGGTAAGTTGGAAATTTAGGCCAATCATATTGTCCCAAGTGTACGAGCTTCTCAATGTATTTTTCACATTAATGAGTCCCTTAGAAGTATTCAGTTTTGCATGAGGGAAGGTTTTAATTTTAAAATTTGTTCATCTCCGTTTTATGCGTGTTTCCTATTTTCCACCTCAACCAGTAGATTACCATCTCTCAACTTTGTAACTGTTTTAGAATTAAGCCTACTGCTTAGTACTTTTTTTCAATCAAGGAAGGTGAAAGTTTTGCCAGCGGAATTTCTTCTAGGAAAGTGAGCACAAGAAATCTTGGAAATTCTGTATTAATTTCATTTTCTGAATCAGAGTTTCAAAGACAGCTTTTGGGCTTTTTATTTTGATTATTCCTGATTTTTATGTTTTAAGATTCTCTGCTTTGTGCTTCCCACCTACCCCGGAGCGCGACATTGGGGTGTGTCAATCGAAAAACCCAGTCGTCTTGACAGGTCAGGGCTACGCAAAACATTATACTCGTATTCGACATAGAATTTGAGCACCCGTTAAACCATTATTTTGCAGTTCTCAAATAAGTCTACAAACTAGCATGTTCACAGACGTGTCTAAGTTTAGATCTTTTCGAATCAATTGACCATCAGCTATCGCCTTCTAACGCCTATAAATTAGATAAACATGTATCCTAGTGTATATTTGGGGTATTCCATTTAGTTATAAAGTATTCCATAAATGGATATAGTTATAGGCGCTAGTGCTTGTTATGATCAGCTGATTGATCGGATTGGGCTCCTCTGCCCGCCCACGTAGTCCAAGTATGGGCCAAAGCGGTGTGTTGAGAATCAGAAGTAACTAACCCTGACTCCTGACGCACTCAACTATCAGGATCCTGTCTCTAAACGTGTGGCCTCATTGGGAGGGGGGCTTACGCCTTTGTAGAGGTCCAGTCGGCGTATTCTGAAGTCCAGACGAGAGGACAGGAGTTCAGAGATAGATAGATAGATAGATAGATAGATAGATAGATAGATAGATAGATATCATACTGAGGAAGGCAGAAGGAGCAGCCGCAAATTTTGCTCCCACACGCCAAGTACATAAAAGACATACGAATATATAAAGAATATGTTTGACGTTATATATATATATATATATATATATATATATATATATATATATATATAAAATAGTCATTAATGTAATTAGTGGCGAACTCACTTCGCTAACAGATTAAAAGGCATTAATTTACTGACCACTCGTTGGACGACACGATTTTTATTAATTGTACAATGGATTAGATGTTCGGTCCATATTGCTTGCAAGTACTTTCGGTAAAAACATTTACCATCCTCAGGTATAGATGTTATTTTTTCTCAATTCCAGGAAATTTCGGGTAAAATTCCAAGATAAAAATAAATGTGATACTTGTCGAAAGAATGTTTTATTAAAAAGTAACAGTTAAGAAATTTTCTGAACGTGCAGTAATGTGACGCTAGATTTTTTAATATTGTAGTAATGCCGTAATGTACAATTTTTGTTACTGTAAGTGTTTTTGTTTTTTGCGTTGACGTGACATGGACTATTGGTTCAATAATTACAGCAATGTAAAGATTTCAAAAGTTTTTACTGCAGATCGATCCTTTATCAATTATTAAATAATGCAGCTTAATTAATTTTGTAAAATAATTATTCAAAGAATAAATCAATAATGTAATTAATGGTAAACTCACTTCGCTAACAGATATAAGGTAATTAACTCACTGACCACTCTTTTTAACTACTCTTTTCAAACCGCCGCTTGATCCATCTTGCTCCCAGCATTCCCTAGTGGGGCCGGAAGTGATTACAATCAGCAAGTAAAAAAAAATACTTGAAAGTAATTTCAGTCGGGAGTTGCTTGGTTTTAAGCTCTGGTTTACTTGTCTAGTAAACGAATAGCAGTAAACGACCTTCTCTGAAGCAGATTTTTACAACTGCTGACTTCGCCACACAACTCACCGAATTTGAGCGCAAACCAACTAATACGAATACCCGAATGAAGACCTTCGCTTTGTAAGGTCATCCGACCATATCAAAGGGTTCTTTCAAGTCTTTGGTCTAAATGAACCAGAACTCAGAGAAATTTCATTCATAAAAATAGATTCTCTTAACAATATATATTTATATATACATACGTAATATCATGTAAATGTGAATAGCTATGTAGACGGCATGATACTCCAGAGGTTTTCTTGTCGCTCTTGGAATGAATCGATGCCATGTACGTGTTGCTGCATTTCGCCGGGTTAGACGCCAATAGTAAGCGCCTTACATGTGTCTTTGTTACGTCAGTGTATTAGCTTCTGTGCGCCCGCATTTAATCCTGTGTCGTTCTTCTTTGACAGAATCAATTAAATTAATAACAGATAGGGCTAGTGAAGAAAAAATATTTTCTAATGAAGAAATCGATGATGTAAAACGCAAAAACTGTTCTCAAAGAAAGATATCGCCGATATAAATCAACGTGATCGATGAAACAGGAACATCTTTTCATAAGTTGCACCGTAAAATAATCAAGTCTTAAATTGACACGATGATGAAATAATTGTTGATATATTCTGTAAATCTTTATAAAACTGTATTCGTTTTGTAAGCAATAACATTACAAGAAAATACCTTTTGAACCACACTTATTTACTTTACAAAAAATGAACACACTATAAATTATTCGAGTGAACGTAAAAACGTTATAAAAAATTAAATAAAATAAAACATAAAAATTAGCCTCATTTTCAAAATTGGATTAAAGATGACAGCTTTAATATGGTGTTTTTACAATGGCCTTCTGAAAGAATTTAGAGCTATGGATACAATGCAAGTATCCCCCTGAGCCTGACCAATTTAGAAGGCTGGTTATCTCTTCGGGTTGTTAAATGGCATTTTCAAACTCGCACGGTCGTCACACGTCCCCAAAATAAATCTAATGTGGTGCCTTTACTAATAATATGGCTATAAGATTTCCCTCAAGAGATTCGCGTTTTCAAACTGAACACCCAATGCAAAAGTCCTCCATTTTCTATTTGTATCAGAATCTAATTCTGATTTCTCGGACGATCTTAAAATACGCGCAAACCTGATAGTACAGCTGTTATGGAAACGCTAAAGTCTTTTGATATAAATCCTAAAAATACGGTTTGTCTGCAAATGTCATTTGAATATTATGTCAAGAGAATTAGTTAACTTTATACTGGGCCTGAAAACTTACCTAGCATCTTTTTTTATGTTAAAGTAAATTAAAAGGAAAATAAATTGATATATTTTTTAATGGTATTAACTGTATATATGCCATTTTCTTCTAATTTGTCTCGACATATATGTGACAGCTTCCTAATTCCATCCTCCCAGAAATTGGTACCTTTCTGGACGATAAAATGGTTCAAGAGTTTTTGTTTTCGTTTTTTAAATCGTTACCAGCTTTAAAAAAAAACAGTTGAGCCATTTTAAGAGAACAGGAATTCTTCCTATTAAGAGGCATTTATATGGATCAAAAAAAGTTCTAATCCAAAGATGTATGGTCAATGGGAGTAGACGCTGGTACAGTACAAAATCCCAGTCAAGCGCTAACACTTTCTGTCGTGTCTGCAAAGATATGTGGAATCTGAAAGAACAATAAAAGATCAGGACTTTAAAAGACACAAGATAACGATTAACATTGAATTTAAATTTGTGAAAATCAAATTTGACGGGGAAGCGAGAAGAGAGTTCCACAAGCGTGAAGTGTCATAGAAGAAACTGTTAGCATAGAACTTACGGTTATATCTAGCCATTTCAATTATAAAAATTATGAAACTTTGCCACAAATCAAGTACTACGCTTATATTCATAAAATCTAGGTACAATAGGGGAAGGTTCATTAAAATAATTGACATGAAAGTATTTATTTTTTTTAAAAATCACAGGGAATTTTCCTTACATCCGTGGAAACAAACTGAAGTCGTGACGTCAGGTCAGAGCCGATGACATTAAAAATTCTTCTGTTAAGAATCTCCGGATGCATATCTGATTAGGTTTGGTTTGGTTTGGTTTGGTTTACGCCATATCAACCTCAATGGGTTATTTAATGCCGACAACTTTTTTTTCCTGGTAATATTTTGTTTTGTCAAAAAATCTATTTCTGGTAATATTTTTTCCTTCAAAAATGTATAGCTGGTAATATTTTTTTTTCAAAAATATATTGTTGGTAATTTTTCTTTCTTCAGAAATTCATTTCTGGTAATAATTTTTTATAAAGTATTTCGGGAATTAAGTCCTATTTTTACACTTCATAATGATTTTTACCTCAGTTTCAGGGTTAATTATTTGCCCATCGCTGGGACACTAACAGGTGCTACGACCCAGGGTCAGGGTGGACCTGGGAACACCAGCATTTAAGAGAACACGCTCCCCAAAACCTCCTAATCAGAGGCCTTACTGTTGGACGTAGTTTATCGTCTTACCCTGGACGCGGATGTAGTTTATCGTCATACTCAGCACGAGGATTCATATACGGAGCACTAATCCAGATATGACAGCAATATTCAGTGCACGGACAAATGATAGGTAGAAGATAAATTTTGCGGATTCCGTGAGTGTAATCCTGCGCAAATAAATAAACAACGCCAGTAATTGAGATAGAAAAATAAGTGTATTAAAGGTAAGAATACAGACTTGAAGTGAAGATTAGTAGTTCAGGAATGCGGGTTAGTAGAAAGTATATGTACAAGTCTCTGTAAGTAAAAACCGTAATATCTGTCTCTCTCTCTCTTTCTCGAGACTCATGTATAACTCTCTGAGAACACCCTATGTCTGTTTCCGTATCTCCACGTATCTCAGTATTTAATATCTCACCACGAATAATATATGTGGCTCAAGGCCGAGTTTAAAGTGATTTTTTCCGAGGCTCGGCCTAAAATATACACTTTGAACTCGCCAAGACGGGTTCAGGCCCTGTCTACCTCCCCGGACGAAACCTTGCCCTTCGGCAAAGCTTCGTCCAGGTTCCTCTCTGGCAAAGCAGAGAGTTCGACAGACGTCGAGTCTGTATCGCGACGTATCTCAACAGCAGGTATTCCCTCTGTCAGTATAAGTATACTTTGGACGAGCCCATCTTATGTACAAAGGGGAGAGCCCCACAACAATAATTCTGTAAAATATTCTACAATAGTACAAAACAATGAACGAAGTATAATCCTTCCTTTTATTGTCAATGGCCAACGTTAGGCCGAAAAGACCCAATGAGATACTCTCCTGAATCTTCGACGAAGTTGTGGAGAGTGATGATTTCCCACGTCACGAAGGGAAACAAAGAAGAAGAAGAAGAAGAAGAAGAAGAAACATGTGACAAGGATAAGAGCTAATATCTCTTAACAAGTGAGTGTTTTAATATTAGAGGCTTATCTGCAGGTATAACAGGCTTGGATTAATTTGATTTCTTCACTATCGCAGTCATGGGAAATAAGAAGTATATGAGTGACTTTGATAAAGTTTAATATTTGACCATGAGATCAGGCCGCATCATTTTCAAAATGACACAGCTTGTGAGGTGCACAGATTCATTTGTTGTGAAGAGTTATCAGGAGAAGGACGAAGAGAGAAAAAAAACACCAACAGCTGGCAAGGCGTTAGGCAGCCAAATCTTAAAGACGGGAGACGTATCTTTCCAGTCAATTACACGCAAACAGACGGCGATTCTTTGACATCAATTGCTTATAGACTTAGCAAGATGAAAGCAGAAATATATCATAACACTGATTCCATCAGTCCTCATAACATGTATATATATATATATATATATATATATATATATATATATATATCCATATTTCACAATACAGGAAAATACTTGTTAACGAAAGCAATATACAACACCATGAAAATAATAAACAAAGACTTCAAATATTAGAGATCTTCTATATTAAAATTAACCAATGAACAGTCAACAAAATTTATTATGAACATAGCAACAGCATATTAAACTATTTAATGCCATTTTACATTTCTACCAATTTTTGGTCAGCTCCCTTAAAT